GGGGGGGGGGGGGGGGGGGGGTTAACAAAGGCTAGCTAGACACGGCCTCTCTTTAGAGCACGCGCGACAGCCGGCGGGCATACTCAAGCCCTAAAATCGCCAAGGGACGACGGGGTGTATGAGCCTGTTTTGCGAAGAAGCATCACACAGCGGCGACTGCGCTGGTGCTCGCTCACCGGCTTTGATGTTGCTCGTGAGGAAGCTCAGCAGCTGGTTCCGCTCGTCGTTGCGGCAGGGGAGGGACTTGGGCACGGCAGTGACGTGGAGGCTCTCCATCGCCACGCTGAACTTGTCCTGCGGGCGGCGCTTGCCCTTGCCGTCCCGGCGCTTGCCGGCGCCACCGGCGCCAGCAAACGACGACGGTCGACGCCTGCATCGTAAACGTGTTTTCGTGATTGTTGGCCGCTCAGCGTGGGCATCCCAAGGACTCCTGTTTTTAGTTTTGTCGCGAAAACACGCTGCTTCTTCGAGTCGGCTCGATTGGAGCTTTTCTGGGAGACGTCTTGAAGTGGAATACGGCGGGAGTGCATAATAATGGCACCTTTGGAGCATACGTTGATCGCCTCGGGAACATAAGCTAACCTTGAAGTAGTTTGAAAAACATGTGCCTGGTACAATGGTCGGCGTGAGTTCCGTAACATTTCACCACCTACGTAGCATATCCGGTCACCACCTCCAACATCGCTCATGATTGCGCTGGTATCGCAACTTCCATTGGCGGTCGTTTCCGCTACTTGTCATGCAAAAATAATCCCAGGGGGGAGCAACGCTCGACAGACAACCCGTGTTGGCATCCACCTCACCGCCGAATTTTGCGGCACTGCGTGATCTACTTCTCGATTATGTAGCCTGGTGCTGAGCAACGAGTGTGGGGAGTGAGCTAGTGTTAAGGGGTGACGGTAGGTTGCTCGAAGACGTACACTTCTCACGGCCACCCGCCACCACCTAAAGAAGCGAAGAGAAAGGTGCTACTGTAGGCGGCATTGATGACAACGCCAAGCCACGGCATAGCGCTGTCCGGTAGATCTCCCCATCTACCACATCTACCACATCTACCACGCACTGTTGTACGGCGGACCGGAAGTGCAACGGTTCTGCAGCGCAAACAAATCGGATCGGAGGAAGGAGAGGGGGGTGGGGCGTTCCCACATACCGTTTGGGATGCCGCTGTTGCCGAGCGTCAGCACCGCTACCGCCGCTGCTGCCGCCGCCGCCGACGCCGCCTTCAGGATGGTCGCCGTCGTCATCATCACCGCTACCACCGGCGTTTCCCTCTGCACCAGTATCATCGTCGTCGTCATCCTCGCTCCCGCTGCCGCTGCCGCTGCCGCTGCTACTGCTATCACTCTGGTCTGGAGGCAACGGGAGCGGGGGGGCGGGAGATGGAGCCGGGATGCTCCTTCGTTACTTGCCTGACTGCCCCAGTGAACACGATTTCACATGACGTCAGGGGGCGCAAGACCCTTCCAAGAAGGAAGACGCACCGTCCGTCCCCACCTCAACTGTGAAGATAACCCGCCTCTTCTGTGTGGAAGACACGCCCACAAAACACCCGTTTCTTACTTCGACCCATTCGCCGGCGTGCGCATCCGCTTATTCCTTCTTCACGCTCCGGCCCGATCTCCTACGATCGACCTCTTCTGTGGAGATGCGCAGCCTCTTCTGTGGAGATGCGCAGCCTCTTCTGTGTAGGACACGCCCACGATCCTTGGGGCACCCACATCCTTACTTCGGCCACGTTGCCGGCATGCCCATCAACCACTCCCCATCCGCTCCTTCGTTCGTGACGTCCCGGCTGATCGATTGTTCGTCTGGACTAGCGTCTAGTCTAGTCTTGACGGCAGGCAGTCCAAGTCACTAACCTGGCTTGGACGAGCGCTCGCTCCACCGTCTCGCCCTCAGCAGCCTCTGCGCAGTCCTCTGCTCTGCCTCCGGCATGAACCTGTCGCCACGGATAAGAACAAACAGGGCCAGGGCTCGTCAGTTTTTGCGGGCATCCCGCAAAAAGACGTAGGAAACGCCGCTGCTATGCATCACGATGGGGCAAGAACAAGTCTGGCCAGTACGGAGGATATCGGGTGCTGAGGAACGATCGGTACGGTATGTATTGCTGTCAACACGACGACCACCAAAACAAAATCAACGGCGTGAGCACAGGCCGACGTCTGCCCACGCATCAACCCAGTTTCCGCTCGGGGACCAATCACAGGGGATACCAACGCCAATACATCGCCGGTGCGACCCAATCCGGTGTACAAGAAGGATCCCTTCTCGCAGCAAGCCATCGAAAAGGTGCACGCCGCACGGTGAAGCTTGGGGGGGGGGGGGGGNGACCATTGACCACGCGTCCCTTTCGAGACGGAGCACCGTTCCTACCCCTACTAGAGACACCACCAACATTTGGGAGCTTTTTACGTTTCTGCCACAAACTACATAAAAATTTATTGCACATCTTATCCCCGTTCTCTACGGCCTCGTTTGCCCACCATCTATCCCCAATTACCGCGATCGTTTTTTCCCTGTTGTCTAATTTACCAAACTTGTCCATGTCACACCCTCTCTGTCTCATGTC